GTTGCATTAACCATTCATGAAGCCCACATAGCAACAATAAATGAAACATCATTTGGACATAAAATACCAATTTGAACATGACGTTTATTTGAAATATTGTCAGTTGATTTTTGTTGTTGGCTAAATGGAATAAGACAACGAGACAGTTGACGTTAACGTAAATAAAGTTGACTATATGTATACGAAGATGAATGATCAATTAATGCTATATTATTTACATGTTGTGAAACGGATTCGTAATAAATAGGACGTGATGTAGATGATAATTGACAAGAAGATTTTAAATGAAAAAAGCTTTTTCGTATTGAATAAAGAACAATACGAGAATAAATCATCTATAAAAAGAAGTTCCCAATCAAAATGATTTCATCAAATTACATCCAGTCTACCTTTTATTATTTATTCCTAGCACCGAGTATTAAAATATAACGAATTACAAAATAAAAAAAAAAATCAAAGCATAAGATAATGATAATAGAATTAATATAGATTATTTTATTAACTTTAGATGAAGATAGAAAAAGTTTAGAATTTAATACTTTTTTATTCACTTTTCCAACAGCATTTCGTTCAAGTTTATCGACAATTTTGAATTGTGTTGAACATTAATAACCTAGCAATTTTTTCTATTGATGGTCGAAATGGTCCCACAGCAGTTGATCAAAATTCACTAGATTTTAAGAATGAATATTTTTATAAAAAGGATTTATTCAGAAAGAACTAACGAATAGAATTCATCCATTGAGAATCAAGAAAAAAAAACGAGATGATGGGAAAAGGAGTACATCAAGATGTAAACCCTATTTTATGGAATATCATTTGATAATTGATCATCCTATTTTGTATAATATTCATCACAGAGAGATTGAAGATTTGTAATAAGCTTCGCTCGAGATTAAGTCACATCTGATATAAAATTAATACCTTTTTTTTGAAAATGTTGACTTTGTTTTCATATCAAGTGATCAAAAAAAATGAATGATGATTGACAAAAAAAAGAATGATGATTCGCAAAAAATAAGACTTGATGAAGAGAAAAAAATCAGGAAATGGTTAATGTTTTACGCCTTTAACAATTGTCGCCAGTTCGCTTAAATATTCGTCGTCGGAAATCTGTTTTCCGTACCATTTCGTGGTAAGTTCATTTATTTGTATCAAAATATTGTCATTTGAACTCTGAAAAAAAAGAAGATATTATTATTAGTAAAGAAAAAAAAATAAAGGAAGTATGCACCTCTTCCTTCTCGGCCATTTTCTCAACAAAAATTTCTTTAGTTATTTTGGAATTGATAATCAAACCTGGAGGAAAGAAAAAAAAGCACTTATATATAGTACACCTTCCTATGCTTTTTCTTGTCTATCTTCGTTGACTGAAAAAGGAAGTTGTTTAAAGAGAATAATGAATAGAGAGTGAGAGATATCAAGACTAGTCAGCTATGTCTATTTTCTTTTATTCGTTCAACTTACAATTGAAATAGGAAGATTTATTAGTGATTGAGGACGATTCGTATTATCATCCTGAAAATTACTGCCAATTATTCGAGCTGTTGATGATTGAGGATAATCGAGTTTATCATTTTATTTTATTTTCTTTGATGGAGAAAATTGAAAAATATCATCTGAACGTGCATCAGAAATCAATGAATTTGATGATGAAGAATAATTTATTTTATAATCTGAAGATTTATTTGGACTAATTCTTTTGATTGATGTTGCAAGATACTTTAGAATATCATTTGAAGATGGATCAAACGTCAATGAATTAGATACAGAATAATTGGGTGTGGGTGTTGGTGGGTGTGGCGGTGTGGGTGTGGGT